ATCCACAACCATCTTGAATTGGAACAACCTTAATCTCAAACATACCTCACTTAACCCGTGTGCACCCCGGTCTCAATCATGAAACTAAATCTTGCCTGCCCATATTGAGAACATCATTGCACACACAACTTCAAAACGAACCCTTAAATGCACCCCAATTTAAATGTAGTTTGACCTTGCAATCTTCTGAGTTTGTTTAGCAAGCCAAGCAACATATTTTTTGGATTTTGTAATAATGCCAGTGGAAGGACACACAAAAGAAGTATACACCGGCAGGAAAAATTTAGGGTATGACAAATGAAGGATATATACAGGGGTAGGGCAAATTTTAGGGTGCAACAGATATGATTAGGTATCATGGATGAATACATAACTCTCAAAATTCATCATAGTGGTGAGTTCACAGATGAAGGTCGTAGTGTATATGAGAATGGAGTAGTAGATGATTTGAGGGTAGATGTAGACAGATGGAGTTATTTTGAGCTAATTGGTGTATTAAAAGACTTAGGTTATAGGGAGTTTGAAATAATATTTTACAAGGACCCTCAATTTGGGATGAATCCACTTGTTGATGACAATGGTGCTTTAGAAATTGCAGATCTGTATAGGGTGCACCAAAATATTGATATTTATATTGAACACACATTGTCTCAACTTGACTATTGTGATGCTGTTGTTGATGAAGTTGATGAGAATCCTGCTGAAATTGTAGATGAAGCCACTGTTGGGTTAGAGGAGTTACTTAGTCAACTGCGTGAAGAAGTTGTGGAAGATGAACAAACCACTGTTGGTTTGGAAGAAGGTGATGTTAGGGTTGATGAAGCCACTGTTGGGTTAGAGGAAGGTGAAGTTAGAGTTGATGAAGCCACTGCTGGGTTGGAGGAAGGGAATCCTGCAGGGGATGTTAGAGTTGATGAGGATTTTGCAGTGGATGAACATACTGTGGGAATGTACTTTAGTTCAAAGGGTGATTTTAGGGAAGCAATAACAACTTATGCTGTGCAAAATGGTAGAGACATAAGGTTTGTAAAAAATGACAGAATTAGGGTAAGGGTTAGATGTAAAGTTGGTTGTGAGTGGGAGGCTTATTGTAGCAAGTTGTCAAATGAAGACACTTGGCAACTCAGGAAAGTAATTGACAGACACAGTTGCAGCAAAGAGTATAATGTGAAGCTGATGAGTACAAAGTGGTTGAGTAAAAGAATTCAAAATAACTTGAAAAACAATCCAAGGTTGAGTATAAAGGAGATCAAGGAGAAGGCACAAAATAAGTGGAATGTTAGGGCCAACAAAACCAAAGCTATAAGAGCAAGATTTACAGCTAGAGACTATGTAGATGGTTCCTTTTAGAGAGGACACAACAACTCAACAACCTAGCCAACAATCAGCCTAACTCAATCATACTCCAACTCAGATTCCAACTTCAACAACTCGGCCTAGCCAACAATCAGCCCAACTCAATCCTACTTCAACAACTCAGCCTACTCAACAATCTAGCCAAGCATCTCAGACTTCTAATGGAAAGGCTGCTAAGGGCAAGACACAAAAGCTGCCTGTAAGGAAGCCAACAAGACCTTCTGTGCCAACAGGGCCTACAACTAGGTTGAGTGCTGCGAAGAATGTTGTTGGCCCAGTAACAAGGAGGTCTACTCAAACAAAGAGGACCACACCAAAGAAGAAACTCTAAATTGTGGAACATGTGTATTTAGTTACCTAGAACAAGTTTAAGTATTCTACTGCTGTCGTTTTAGAACAAGTTTATTTATTCTATTGTTGTTGTCATGAACAAGTTTATGTGTTCTACTGCTGTTGTACTCTACTGCTATCATGAACAAGTTTATGTAATCTACTACTGTTGTTTTGGAACAAGTATATTTTGTGTATTCTACTGCTGTCACGAACAAGTTTATGTAATATACTACTGCTGTTGTTTTGGAACAAGTATATTTTGTGTATTCTGCTGTTGTTTTGGAACAAGTATATTTTGTGGAAAGTATTACAGGTTTATGTATGTTGTTGTTGTTGTTTATAGGTATTATGAAATGAACCTAAAAGCAGAACCAACTTATATGTATCCTGCTGTTGTTATATACCAAACATAAAAAACTGTTATATACCAAACTGTTATATACCAAATATAATCCAAATATATCATTGACAGACCAAAATTGTTATATACCAAACATAAAAAACACTTTGACATGATATAATCCAAAACTGTTATATTCATGTGGATCATGTTTTGACAGACCAAAAAGTCAACACTTTAACCGTTATATTCATGTGGATTATGCTTTGACAGACCAAATTAAAACACTTTAACTGTTATATTCATGTGGATTATGCTTTGACAGACCAAATTAAAACACTTTAACCAAGTTAACATTATCTTTAACTGTTATATTCATTCATGTTGAACTGCAAAAACTGAAATTAACTAAACTGATACAATCCATATATTAAAATCCAACTATTACATTCATGTTGAAGTGATACAATCCAAAATTGATACAAACTTTAACTAAACATAAAAACATAATTCTTACCACCAAAACTTAACTTAATGCTTACAAACAAACCATAACATAATACTTTCAAACAAGCCTTAATAACCTAACTAGTTCTAACAACTAATACAATGATAATCATCACAAATATCAAATTCAAAATCTTTTTCCACTTCATGATATTCTTCATTTCAATTTCAAGTTTCATCAGCTTTTTCCCTAATTCTTCATTCTCCATTGTCGCTTTTTCAATGTCCTTTTTTGCTTCAGCAAGTCCCTTAGTTACCACACCCAGCCTATGCATCCAAAATTGCTCTTTCTCATCACCCATCTCCTCATAAAACCAATCAAAGAAGCCACAACCAGCTTGCATACCTCCCTGTAAGTTTCATTGTTTAGAGGATGATGGATAATGAATTTAAAATTAAACAAAAATATAACTTATAATTTGGACAGAAACAGAAACAGAAACATAACTTAAACAAAAACAGAACTTCAACATAAAACAAAACCAGCTTGCATACCTTATAATTTGGACAACCCCAAAAAAGTTTTACCATATTCTTAACAGTAGTTGCCCTTTGAAGAACAATCATGTCTCCACAATGGCACATGGGCTTCCATCGTGACCGACTACAACATTCGAATCCCGACTTTTCGATTTTGAAATGGAAGAGGAACATCCGGATTTCATGCTTGCCAAATAAAAAAAATCCTATATTAATTTAGGGATTTTGGATTTTGGATTTGAGATTATTTTAGGGATTTCAACGGAAGGAGGAGGGAGAAGAAAACAACATCATGAACAAGATTGCCATGTCATCTGCCAAATATACAAAACAAACGGACGTTTGGGGGCAACTAACGGTGCGGACTAAAATGACACCATTTTAAAAGTTAAAGGACCAACTTGCCACTTTTTAAAGATAAGGGACCAACATGGACCCCAAGCTAAAGTTAATGAACGAAAAAGGGTATTTTGCTTTAAAAATATATACTATAAATATGTATATATTAGTTGTCAATATATTCTTCCATTTTAACTTAGACATACACACAACTATTAACATGTATATAATTTTTAGTTTAAAGAAATCATAACTTTTCAATTAAAATAAATTATAAAATAGGTTTAATTAAAATTTTGGTCTCCTATTTTATTTTATTCATGAAATTGACTCTCCTATTTTAAATTTAAACAGATTTGGTCCATTTATTTTAAATTTAAACAGTTTTGGTCCCGTCTCATATTTTTGAATTTAAAATTAACGATATTTTTTATTTTTTAAATAACAATTTACATGTAAAACATAACAAATCATCGTATATATATATAAACTTATTATTGAACTTTGTAGATAAAAATATAAGTTAAAAAATAAAATTTTCATCAAATTTCTATGATAAAAATTTAAGAGGGGAGTAAAACTGTTTAAATTTAAAATAGAGGAACTAAAACTATTTAAATTTAAAATAGGAGGACAAATTTCGCGAATCAGACAACATAGGGAGACTAAAACTATAATTTAGCCTATAAAATATAAGTAAAAGTGTACGTCATTGAACAAAATAATATTTATTTTCGAAAAAAAATATATTGTTAATTAAAATATTTGTATATAAATTCAAATATATAAATAATGTCAAAACAAAATTAATATTTATACACTAGAATAAATATATTGTTGATTAATTTATTTATATATACGAAAAAATATTATTGTTATAAACAAGAACAACTTTAACTGTTCCAAATATTCAATAATATAAATTTATCGATGATTTTTTTAAATATATGAAAAAATGAATGGAAAAAATTCTATTATTATAAACGGGAACAACTTTATTACACTTTAGAAACCGATGCGTATACTAACTATAAAACAAATTTTAATTATATCATAACTTATCTTTTTTTGAAAGACAAAAATAAAACAATTATACCTCAAACATGAAATTACTGTTCAAAATATTAAATAATATAGATTAATTGAAATACATGGTCAATATAAAATAATTTTACACTCTCTTTCAATTAGAATAAATTATTTTGACACATAATCATGGAATTAAAAATTAAAAAAATTAAATTATTATTAAATTATTTTAATAACTATTTCTTGCATGTTTCTCTCTTCTCATATGTCAAAATAATTCATTCTAATTGGATGACAGTGTAAAATAATTTTACGTCGATAGTATATTCCAATTAATCTCTAAATAATAATAAAAAAGATTTACTATTGATTTTAATATATTTGTAAATAATATCAAAACAATTCAAATATTTTTATACATGGAAAAATTATATTTTTAAAAATAATTACTTTTTAGTTGAACAATTTAATTTTTTAAATATTTTTTTATATATTATATTTTGTAAAAAATGCGCATAACATATGCGTGCGGACGCATGTACATCGCTCTAGTTTCAACTAGACAAAACGCATGAGCATTTGCTTCTTGCTTCAATCGAAGACCTAATTGCATATCATGCACAATCAATTCCTTCGTGCAACCGAACCACTCCATGGCGACATCAACGTAGCAATCTTCCATCTCGTTGCGAGCAATGAATTAGTTCGTCATGCTTCAACCGAAGGTACTGATTTCCCTCTATAGCCAAATCACATCAAATTTTTTTTTTCAATGTGTCAAAGTCTCAAAGATCTTAATATAAAGAAATGATTTTATTTATTTGATTATCTATGATTCATTTGAATTGAGTTTTAAGCTATAAGATCAATGATAATCTTGCTAAAAACATTTGTAGTTACCATAGACATAGGCATATGAATCAATAAGCTATCTTTTGTTGGTGAGTTAATCACCATTTTGTTCATTTGAAATTATAAGGATCAAACAATGTAGTCCTTTGAATTTATCAAATAGGAGCAATTTAGTCACTTAAATTATAGAATGTCAGTCAATTTATCCTTTCACCAAAATATACCTTTAGGAAACATTCAATCAACACCAAATAAAATTGTGGTGCTTAATCCTATCACAAACCATAAGCCGCGTTCCATTAAGAGGAGTCGGTTCCATGGATCAAACAATGCTATAGTGTGGTGCTAAATTTGTTAAAATTTAGCTGTCATTTTGTAAATTTGAGAGACTGAATTATCTGAAATTTATAATTTCAACAACTAAGATAATGGTTTACTCCAACAATATTTATTTATCGAGGCAAGTTTTGGGATATTCAATTTTTTATAAAGTATAAATGATTGCAGAAGCGCAATGGCTATTTATTGGCCATATTATAGTTATTATCTACATAGAAGTATGCAACTTCGAGTTCAAAAAAGTGAAGAAGTGGATAGAGAGTGCTTCGTAGAGCGGTCTGGAAATTGGACCGTTCAAAAGCTCATGTCCGGATGGAGTAAACTTTGGGTTTTTAATAGAGTTTTGGGATTAAAGGTGACTTTATGAGAGTTATGTCAGAATTTCACACAAAGAGTAGGATGGTTAAGGTGTAAATTGTTCTTTCCTGGTTCTCATCCCAAAGAAGAATAATTTGTCAAGGATCTTTGATTATCGACCAATATCTCTAATTAGGTGTATTTACAAAGAAACGCAATCAGCGTTAATTGTAGGTAGACAGATTCTTGACAGGGTGCTTGTGGCAAATGAAATTGTGGACGAGGCTAGGAGAAAGAAGAAAGAAGTGTTCATCTTTAAAGTGGATTTCAAGAAAACTTAGGATTCGGTGGATATGAATTTTCTAATCTTTGTGATGGAGAAAATGGGCTTTCACGAGAAATGACGGAGGTGGATCTTAGAATGCTTGAGGTCATCATCAGTTTCGGTGTTAGTAAATGGTATTCCCACTATAAAGTTTAAGATGGGCCATGGGTTAAGACAAGAAGACCCCTGTCTCCTTTCTTATTCATAATCGTAGCGGAATGATTTAGCTTATTGATGAAGAAAGCTGTTAACATGAGGATGTTTTTGAGATACAAATTTGAGGCTGGTGACCATCTATTTTCCCACTTTCAATACGCAGACGGCACCATGATCATAACTAAGAAAAGATGGTTTAATATCTGGACCATAAAGGAAATTCTTCTACTTTTCGAATCGATGTTCGGTTTGAAAGTAAATTTTTAAAAGAGTTCGATTGTAGGGATTAACACACCTTACCATTGGTTAGTCGAGGAAACAAACGTCCTGCATTGTAGAATAGGCTCTTTGTAGCTCAAATATCTTGGACTTCTAATTGGGGGCAAATCTGAATCGGAAAGAAATTTGTAACTAGGTGATAAAGACAATGAAATCGAGATTGAATAGGTGCAAGAACAGACATTTGTCTATTGGAGGCTGGGTTGTAATCTTAAAATCTGTCCAATACACGATACCGATCTACTTTCTCTCTTTCTTCAAGACTCCGACAAGTACCATTACTAAAATAAAATCTAATGTTAGACAATTTTGATGTATGTGTGTGTGGTGGGGGGTCTTAGCGAGGAAAAGAGAAATTAATTGGGTTAAATGGGAAAAAATGTGTAGGCTGACTGAAGAAGGGGGATTGGGGATTAGAAACTTAAGAATGTTCAACTAACGTATTATTAGAAAATGGGAGTGGAAAGTAAATAATGAAAGGAGGGGTATTTGATATGATGCATTAGTTAATATTGGCTGAATAATGAGGTACTAAATCTGGGGTCAAATGCAGTTTCAAACTGGTGGAAGAATATTTTTCAGTTGGATGTAGGTAGGTGGGCCACATCAAGGGAGTATTCAGTGAAAGAGGTCTATAAAAGCGTCGTGTCAGACGATAAACGACTCTCTAGTCAATGCTGGACCAAAATTTGGAATAAGGCGATTCCCTCAAAAGTGTCATGCTTGGCTTTGAGTGCTTCAAAATAGAATTCCAACAGAAGATAACTTAGTTAGAAAGAGAGTGTTAGCTTAACTCAGGGGCATGTAGGGTGTGCCAGAGGATGTGGGAGAGAGGAGCTGGTTTTTCAAATATTTTTTGAGTGCTCAATTTTTGCAGGGGTATGAAGTTTCATATGTAATTGGATTGACGTAATTTCATCTTTTCATATGTAATTGGATTGACGTAATTTCATCTTTTTATAATGATGGATGACAACATTTGGAACAGTTAGAAAGCTTGCTGGGAAGAGGAAGATCAATTATGAAATTAGCCGTTATTTGGGTAGCTTGTTTTTAGAGCATTTGGAAGCATATGAATGATAAAGTTTTCCTAATGAGGAGATTCAAATTAAAAAAGTGGTAGAGGAGGCAAAAATACCGGCATGAAAGTGGCTTAGAATAAAGACAAATACAACAGCTAATGACACTGCCATGTGGTGTATGAATCCTAAGGCGTGCCTCAGCATCTTATACGACTGAGCATGTTTGTCAACTGTAACTCTATCCCGCTGTCATTTTCGTGTTTTATGTTTACTGGTGTTTCAGTTTTGGAGTTTTGAGCCGCTGACAGATTACAGCTATGCTGATTCGAATCATGAGTTCATTCATTAGGGCTGGTGGTTTGCGTTTATTTTTCGCTGAGCGTCCCAGTCAGTCTAGGCGCTAGTGCAGTTACTGTTATCACAGAGCTGTGCCTGAGTCGAGGTTTTGGAAGGGCTGCTGCAGGCCCGTATCATAGGATCACCATTCAACTGCACTGGTTTATTTGAATCTGTCAAGGCGTGGCTGTTTGAAAAGCGGTGTAGCGAATCCGATGTGGAGTTCTGCTGTTTGCTTGATTCGGTCTGGTCCTCACCGAGGGTGGTATTCGTGGATGCAATTTAGAGGTGTTCTTACAAGGTGTCTTTAGGCTTCATCTTACATGTGTAATTAGTTGAGTTTTGTAAAGTTTTATAAAGTTTGGCAGGAGAATCTGTTTCAGTTACACTATTACATTCCCTTTGTTTGCTACATGTTTTACTTTTTCTCATTTATCTTGAACAAATTAATCATGTACTCATTTTGTCCTTTCCAATTTCTTACGGAATCTAATTGGTCTAGTAAAAAATAGACAGAATCTAGTTGAGGAGGGAATCCACTTGCGCCTCTTTTTTGTTTTAATATTTGAAAATATGTTACACATCTACTAAGCATGCCTTTTTCTTTTGACAACACTAAGCTACACTTTTAGCCACAAAGTCAATTGCATAATAATAGGAATCTTGATGAGTGGAAAATAATTTTAGATGCTAATTATTGGCGCACTTGATATGGAATTTTTATTCTATCCTTCTATCTCTTCTATCATGCAATTTATATTGGGCCTCCATCTTTTCTGTTTACCAGACTGGTTTTCTTTTCTTGCTGCCTAAATTGGTTGAACCTTAAATAGTAGGTCTTTGCTATGGTTTGGTTATTTTGATAAAGTTGGCATGAGTGACAAAACGAGTCAGTCCGCTCTGTTTTAGTCTGCCTCACGGATAAGTCTAAAAAATGAGCTAGATCAACTTGAATAGTCAAGTTAAAACTTTTACTCCCACCCCTTAGTAGATTGGTTTGAAAAAAACCTTTTTTTTTGTTGCCATTTACATTTCATAAAAATAATAAAAACAATAAAAATCACGAGTTTTTTAAAAAAAGTACCGGCAACATGAACATATGTCCACACATTTAAAGCGTTTCCACATCAGATATATGACCTGTTCATATGTTTATAAATAGTAGCAACTCTCACGTTACAAAATAGTTTTGTAAGGTTGAATTAAGCTCAACTCATACATTCTAAGATTGTATTAGAGTTACGTTTAAGTATAAGATCCGTTTGGACTACCTACTATTAGGCTTTCGGTAGAGTCATGTCTATGTTTAAAATCCGTAGGAATCACCTACTATTAAGTTTTTGCTATCAGGTCACTCACAAATTATATCTACGTTTAAGATTGTTGTAGTGTTTCTCAGCTTCAGATGTTGAGACCACCACCTATGAGGTCGCCCACTATTTATATCTACATCTACGTTTAAAATTGATATAGAGTTTCCTTACTTTCAAATATTTAGTCCTTAGCGTGAGATGGACCGACTTGAGTGGTCCAGCTCAAAACTTCAAGTCGTCCCGCCAAAAACGAGTTAAACTACCCGTCCTACCAATCTCGACTAATTTGACAACTCTTTCAATTTGATCGAAATTTCTTTCAATTCAAACGATTTAAAATAGTTGAATCATATCTTAGAGATCTCAGGGATTCGGGATTCAATAATCGGTTCAATTTTTAAAAGATTGATGTATAGTTTTCAACTTACAATATAAAGAACCTCACAATTTTCTTTAACAATAAATTATCTATACTGCCATGCTTCCCCTATTAGAGAATATATAATGCGTTGAGCTTAGGCAAATCAAAATCCAGCCGCCCGAAATACAGTGTTACTAGTCAGTGTTTGTAATGAGTCTTCTTTGTTAGAGTACTATATGGTTTACTAGTATGTTACAACATTACCCTTTTAGACAGTATACTTATTTGATTGGAAAAATGAATAGATGGCTTCTGTCTCAGCTTCCATTAAGAGTATATATGCTTCATTGACTGGATAAAGTACTCCACTTTCTTGTTTTGTTTTTTTATTTCTTTCTTCTAGCTAGTTACAGGTGACATCCTAGGAAGCAGAGACATCCAAATATGATTTTAACAGTTACACAGCGACATTGATAATACTTTTAAAAAAAAATAAAATAAAATCTAATTATAAATGTCGATGCACGTGTCTGATACCGACAAGAATATGGACACATCTTTTTTCAGAGGTGTCGGTGTTATATAAGTTATACCACTCTAGCACTTTTCACTTGATGTGAACAAATGTTCTAAAACCTGGATTCAAGTGGTTGGGTATATATCTTATTTGAATTATTTGTTCAATTCAATTATTAACTTTGTTAAGTTGAAGCTCTTTTTTTCTTTAGAGAAATCATGACATATCAAACTTTTGGTTAACTTTCACCAGAATGTGAAATTAACCCATACAAGTGTCAAAGCTTGATACATGCATAATTTTTTTTCCACTTGTTACTATACTCCCTCTACTCTTATTTATAAGAATCTATCATACTTTATTAACCTTAAAATTTAAGTAAAAGTCACAAAATTAAACTTGAATTTACAAAAGACTTTTTATTTATACAAACTCACAATAATGACATGTTTCCAAAAAAGTTTGAGGAACTGTATTTGTAATTTGTTAGAAACATAACCTTAGATTTGTTCCTGAACCAGTAAAATTTAAGTTTGTAGCATCCAAAATATGCAGCTTTAGTCGTGTGTTATCTTGTATAATTTGCTGCACTAAAAACTGTCATTTTGATTTTCACTTTTTCTGCTCCGGGAATCTATGTGATCCAAACACCCTAGATTTCTAGGGTGTACTCTATCTGTTACACGAAGTAACACCTTAATTAAAAAAATGTTTAAAATTGATTTTTTCCCCTCACTTTTTAATGTATAATTAGTTACTAGTAGTATTTTTTTTACTAGCAAAGTAGATCAATATATTTATTAAGAAAAAAGGGAAAGAGTACATAATACAACACAAGGAAAAAAAACAATAAAAATGGCAAAAAAGATAAAGGCCGGAGGAAAATAGAAAAATTCCAAATAAACACTAGTCCAACTCGAAATCAATAACTAACACAACACCAGAAAGCGAACACCAGAAGTAGGAAAGTATCACCACCTCCTGAGCGACTGAAGCAGCACACCATCAGAAGATAAAAGCTGAAAGGAGACAAATTCGACCACCTGCTGGAAATAGAGATGGGCAACTGACCATCTTATGTGTCTCGCTCTCAACCTGGCAAGGAGAGAGCAGAAACTAGAGCCGAAACTGAAGCATAAAAAAAGACCCACTTCCACGCCAAGCTAATAATCAATTGCACCCAACGATTATTCAACAAATTTTTCTAACATAAAATGATTTTATTACACAATTTTCAAATCACTTGGACCACTAAATGCCAGACCGATAACAGATCTAACAGAGATTTCTTGTCTTGACCAAACCCCTGAAAAACCTCTAGGACCCTTAGAATAAAGGAAGAGAGCAGAAAAGGCATCCCCACCCACCTAAACACCGTATATCAAATTAAGGAAGCCATTTCACACTGAGCAAACAAGCGATCCACTAATTCCACGAGCCTTGAACAAACCACACTCCCTCCTTTGTTACTCGTAGACCCAATCTTTTGCATAACCAGGTTATGCCTAGTTGGTAGTCTATCTTACAACAACTTTTAGGAAAAGATCACTGCTTTGGAGGGAGCCAAACTCTTTCAAACCCTAGCCAACACATGGCCTAACCTACTATCGACCCCTGCCACTGAAAAATAAAGCTTTCAGTAAGAAGAGCTCATTGAGAAACCTTTCGTAAGATTGAGGAGCCATACCCAGGTGTACACTTGATCCTGCTTAACCACCACAATAGTGGAAAAAAGCAACTCCAATAGAAGCTCTTCTTTCCAAACCATGAAGGAATAATGCCTCCACCTAAAATGCCAAAACCACTAATTACCCTCCCACTTCCCATTGACTCCACCATAAAAGCCATTTGCTAATAGATAAGCAATAATATCTCAAAAGAGACACACAATAAATAGGACCCCACCCAAACATCATACTAGAATCTAGTTCGCAACCTATCTCCAACCACCTTAGAACAAGACAACACACAGAAGTTCGACGAAATACCAGAACTAGGGATAAGAAGAGAGACTCTTTCCATTAGAAATATGTCTTCCTAAGACCTTCCATCCAACCTCCCCTCGAAGAACCACAAATTTGAGGACCATATTTGGCATAAATAGTCTCCTTTCATAGAGAAAGACTACCTTTTAGCAACCTCCATCTCCACTTACTAACCAGAGCCAAGTTCACAAGCATAAAATCCTTAACCCCTATACCGCCCTCCTTCATGGATTTGCACACATCCTCCCACTTCACCCAAGCAACATTCACCTTCGTTTATAATCTCCCCAGAGGAACCTTCTTGCATACAAACTACTTTTTTCTAGAGAAACACTGATATCCATGGTTGTCAAAATCTAGATTTAAATCGTGAGATCTTAAGATCTTACGAGTTTTCACCATGCTCCGTGGCGGAGCGCAACAAAGATCGCTGGAGAAGGCGGTGCGGTAGGAGCGCAGTGTAAGATTGTAAAAACGTGAAAGCGAAGATCTATTTCGCAGTGGAAAATTTGTCCAACCCGTTTCGAGCCGACTCGGTCCAATGCCCATTGAAGAAGGTGACCCATTCAGCTTTTTCTACCAGCCGTTTCACAATAAATTATCCGTTTTTCATCATTAAAAGTCAGAATCTGTTGCTATCTACAAGGCTGATTTTTTGTGGGAAATGAAAAATCAATCTGAAAAATATCAATTTATTAAATGATATCATTTATTCTTCTTCAATTCCATCGATTTCTATTCAATCATCAACTTCTTTTCTTCTTTAGTTATACGATCTCTCATCATACCTTCTATTCTACCACACTTTTTTTTCCAATGTCTTCATCAATTCCAGTTCATGCATCCTCATCTACACCACCAAAAGTTCAAAAAAATGCTCCTGGAAGCAGAACTGATATTGCTTGGAAGCATGGTGTCTCTGTTGATGGAGGAACAGGAAAACTCAGATGCAATTATTGTTCAAAGGAAGTAATCGGAGGAGTGTACATGATGAAACATCATTTAGCTTGTACACAAATAAACGTTGGTGCGTGTAAATCTGTACCTAATGATGTTAAAGTCCAAATGTGGGAGATTTTAAAGTCTCTGCAAAACAATTTGCTAAAAAAACAGAGGATGCAAATGAAATAGTAACAAGAAAGAGGCCATTGGAGGATGATGATAATATTGCGCCTGCAAAAAAGTTTAAGAAGAAGGGCATGAATACTCAATCCACCATCAACTCCATCTTCAAAAAGAATTTGAGAGAAGAAGCATGTCTTGAAATTGCTTCATTCTTCTACAACAATGCCATAACTTTTAATGTGGCAAAAAGTGAAGAATTTCAAAAAATGTTGGAGATGGTTTCAAGACATGGTGTTGGATTCAAACCACCTTCATATCATGAAATCAGAACAAAGTACTTGAAGCATAAAATGGAGGAGACAAAGAAATTCATTGAAGAACACAAGCTTATTTGGGAGAATACAGGAAGCACTATAATGAGTGATGGATGGCAAATTTTAAGATGATTGATGACATTGTGGAAGAAGTGAGAGAAAAAAATGTTATGCAAATTGTCACTGACAATGCTGCAAACTACAAAGTAGCATGTACAATGTTAATGGAAAAGCGAAAGAAGCTCTATTGGACCCCCTGTGCAGCCCACTGCATTGATCTCATGTTAGAGGATTTTGAAAAAAATATAAAAGTTCACAATGAAACAATTTCAAAAGGTAAGAAAATCACTCAATTCATTTATTTAAAGCCTTCCCTTATTTCTTTATTACAAATTCATACAAAAGGAAAAGATTTGGTGAGACCGACAGTTACTCGATTTGCAACATCTTATTTAACTTTAGGGTGTCTCATGGAGAATAAAGGAGGATTGATAAGAATGTTCACATCTTATGAATGGACAATAACCAAGTTTGCAAAAACAAGTGAAGGAAAGCAAATTGAAGAAGTGGTTATGGATAAAGAGTTTTGGAAAAATATTGTTATTTGTTGTAATGGTGCATATCCTCTGATTAAAGTACTTCGTTTAGTGGATTCTGATGAAATTCCAGCGATGAGATTAATTTATGAGGAAATGGACAAAGCTAAAGAGAAAATTCAAGCTAACTTCAATGGTGTTCAAAGAAGGTATTAACTACAACTCTAATTCTGTTTCATTTTTAGAGAAAATCTAGTCCCCGTTTGATGTACTCTTGTCTCTGTTTTGTTCAAATCTGATCTGTTCTATGTACTCGTCTCTATTTTGTTTACTCTTCAAATTTGGTCTTTTTTTATTCAACTTTCCTCACTTTTCTCTTTTTTTATTCAACTTTACTCACTAAATTTTTATTTACTATTATTTAGTTACAAGCCTTTATGGGATATAATTGATGAAAGGTGGGATAGGCAATTGCACAGACCTTTGCATGCTGTCGGTTACTATCTCAACCCAAAATTGCATTATACCTCTAATTTTAAAGCTGACTATGAAGTTAAATGAGGATTATATGATTGTATGGAAAGGATGATTAGAGATGTAGAAGAAATAAGTAAGATTAATGCTCAATTGGAAGCTTTTAAGAGAAAGGCAAAGTTTTTCGGTAGTGCAATAGCATTGGCGGCTCTTAAAACAAAAACTCCGGCACAATGGTGGGAATCATATGGGGACGAGCATCCCGAGCTACAAAAATTTGCAATTCGTGTCCTTAGCTTAACTTGTAGCTCATCAGGATGTGAAAGAAATTGGAGTGCTTTTGAAATGGTCCATACAAAGAAAATAAATCGCTTGAAGCAAAAAACAATGAACGATGTTGTGTTTGTAATGACAAATTCAAAGTTGGCAAAAAAGAAAAAAACAAGAAAGGTGGTATAATGTAGCATTAACGAAATTGAATCGGATGATGAGCGGATCATGGACAATGATCAAAATTGGTTAGATGAAGATGATGGAGGAAATGAAGATGATTTGGATGTTGGACTTGCTCAAGATGCGTTGTATGATTTGTTAAATTGAAGTTTATGTTTAAGTTAAATTTTAGTTTATGTTTAGTGTTAATGTTTTGGAATTTTGGATGTTTTTAATTATTTGGAATTTTGGAATTTTAGAATTTGGAATGTGGTTTTTATTAATTTTAAAAAAAATATGTTAATGTTTTTTAGTGAAATGTATAATTTTGTAAATTTTTTGGGATCTTACGATCCGATTTACGATTTTACGATTCACACCTTTTTCAACCCTCAACGATCTTTAGTGAGATCCCGATTTTGACAACCATGCTGATATCTTTAAAAAGGAAAAAAAGAAAATCGATAGGGAGTTCAAGACCAAATAAAGCAAAAAAATCTCTCACTTAGAATCACAAATCTATTCTTCCAAGAAGCAAGCCTCTTAGTCACAACCTGAACTAAAAGATCTCAGGTTCCCACTTTTGTAGGATTAACACTAACCGGGAGGTCCAACTACTTGAAACAAAGGAAACATACTTTGCATTGTAAAAAATCCACGACCAAATCCATAAACTCTTTCCCCACATTGACCTAAAAATACTACTCTTGACAAAGTTCACCTTAAGCTATGATGCAAGCTCGAAGCTCTTAAGAATAGCCTTAATAGACAGTAAATTGTCCACCGATGGGACCCATACAATTATTGTGTCATCTTCATAATGAAGACGTGACACCTTTAAATCTTATGAACAAACTTTAAACCCTAAAAAAAATCAATCAAAATCGCACTTTTCATAGAGGCGTGCTATCAGTAAGAAGTAAGCAGAGGAAAGGCACCAAAAGGTCCCTTTCTTAAGACCCATATGAATACTAATCTCATCAGTCGGACAACCGTATACCAAAATCGAGAGGTTATCCGAGAAATCACAAGCTCTAATCCACGCCTTCCACCTTACATCGAACACAAACTTAACCAAAATAGAATCCAAAAGGACCAACTAATAGAATCATACGCCTTCTCAAAGTCCACTTAAAAAACAAAGCACTCTCTTTTGGACACTTTGGCCAAACCTATCAGCTCATTCAAAGCCACTACACTATCAACTAGTTGCCTTCCCTTGATGAATGCCGATTGCTTAGGGGAAACATAACCCCTACCAGTCTAGCTGCAAGGAATTTGGCAAATAAACTTGTAAAAATAACTAAGAAGAGAAATGCATCTGAAATATCTAATGCTAGATAAGAATCCACCTTAGAGATGAGTGTGATGAAAAAGGACGTCAAACTCTTAGGTAGCAAAACATCAAGGTAGAATTGGTCAAACATGACATAAATCTTAGACTTCAACACATCCCAAATCTTTTTGTAAAAAAAAATAAATTAAATCCATCCTGACCCAGACTCTTACACCCACCTATTCCACCATAACCGTATCGATCTCGACAAGAGTAAAAATAGAAGAAAGAAACCCAACCTCAACATGAGAAAGAGACAAGAGCGAAATCTCACCAGTGCAAGGTCTTCCCTTCTTTGAATCCAAGAGCCACTCCTTAAAAAGCTTCAAAACCTCACCTCTCACCTCATCCACCCAACGATCGCCAACACAAATAACAGTCACATTATTTCTCTTGGATCTAAGCTTCAAGCAAGCATGAAAATAAAAATAACATGTATAAGCATGTCTTTCTCTTAACTAAGCTGCCCTATAATGCAGGATCATCGAAGCATCCTATCAACGTAGGAGTTCATCAAGTTCTCAACAAACATTAAACGTAACACCAGAATCCTCGAGCGAAAGATCAGCTTGTTCCACCTTTAGATCCTACATCTCTAGGTTATCCCTACACCTTTTGATGTAAAAATCTATACTACCGCACACCTCCTTATTCTACACCTTAAGAACTTTTTTGAGTGCCTTCAACTTATCTCTAAGAATGTCAGCCATCCAACCCTCGTACTCTTTTGAACTCTAAGACTCCTTAACCATTGAGTTAAAATTAGCGTTACCAACCAAATATTATCGAAACAAAAAGGCTTAGGTCCCAAAGCTACAAATAATACTAACATATTGAGGTTGTGACCAAGTTAACTTAATTCATAACAAAGCGAGATCCACCAAACCCGCGACCTCAATGAAGGCTCCAAACTCAACATATTTGACCAAGCCAAACTTTTTCCTTAGCATCTCTCCGCTCTAATTGAACCAACTTCTCAACCTCCACATCTCTTAAAAGAATACCTTACCTTCTTAGATCTAGCTAGAACCTAAGAAGCATCCAAATAAATTGGAATAGACAAAAAAAAACACCATTTGAGCTCACAATAGAAAAGCTTGAGAAAATCATTAGATGAAAGGGAGAAAAAGTTAACTGAGTGCGTCTCACTACTACCGAATCCACCAAACCAGTAACTGATCACAAACCAACACCACATCAAAAGGCAAATCAAGATTAGGAGAAAACTAAATATACTTACCTGAACCCTGCCTCTGAACCAAAGGACCCGTCATCATCTACCTCCCGGTAGCAATCACCTAAGGAAGATCACCTACCAAATCCTCAGAGTAGTACTTAACTAAAGACGAACCCAAGTGAAAAAACACCAAAGATTAATTTAGTAAAATATTATGTTTTTTTAAGAACTTTATTTTATTTTTAATATACCTGCAACATATCTTAAACATTATTCAATTTAAAATAGAAGAAATGTTACATTTTGCTTAATTCAAATAGTAAAATGATTTGGCCTATTAAAAAAGTCGTAGTACTAGAAATATTTTCAAGTCCCTGATAATGACGTGCACTTTAAATTTCAATAATATACAACACTCCCTTTTTTTTCTTTGTTAAAATTAAAAGTAATTCCTGAATTCTTATCCAAAAATGTACTATGAATCTCTCACTGGATTTTAATTTACATACAGTTACTTAATTTGAAATCTACCTGATTCGAATTCGCATCAAGTGGAATTACTGCAGAATATTTTGATGACACATTAAATTCTCAGTTCAAATAATTACTACAGAACCACATAATATTGTTAAAAATGTACTCAAAATTTTTACAAATGTATATTTACATTTTTGAAGTAAAACTAGAGCAGCTAAAAGTTTCAAACTGTATAGAACAGTAATCAACTTTCTTCTCTATAGTTACGTACAAGAGCTTCAGCATCTAGTGGCTGAATCCTAATAATAGTTTCTGAAACTGGCAACATAGGTGGTGCTTCCGATCCAACGATCTTTCGACAAGTCTCAAGAAGACACTGTCTACACTTGGGACATGATGAGTGTGCCTTTAGCCATTTGTCAATGCAACGAACATGAAAACCATGGTTGCATTTCGGCAATATGCGCACCTTTTCACCCTTTGTGAATTCTGAGATGCATATCACACACTCCGTATCCAAACCTGGTAGTTTCAACTCGGTTGAGTAACTCACTGTTGGGAATGTTCTGAGAGCTTTCTTCTTGATTCCTTTGTTGACCGATTGAGGCGAAGAGTTGCTGCTCGAACTCGAAGAAGAGCCGTTGTTGTTGATGGCTACGTTTGAAAATCTTAAAGCACACCTTATGATGGAGTTTAAAGCAAGTGAGCAAATAAGAGCACACAATAGGACTGCAAGTATCATCACAACATTTGCATCAAATTCACGAATTCCGAAATACGAGTCGGTTGAATTATGATTATGTGTGAGAACTGGGGAGTTGGCTAGTGGTTGATTATCAACTGGGCCTTGAAAGAGTAACCTTCTTGTGTGAGATTCCACAAGAAGCTCATGGAGGAGTTGTGAAGTAAAGGAAGTAGAAGCATACATTTTTTTGAGGAACTTGATGAGTTAGTTAATTAGAGATTGATGATTGTTGTTATATTATGTACTAGATAAGGGACTATATATAGGGAAATTATATAATACGGTAGAATTGATATGGTATCTGGCTTTAATTAAAGTTTGAATTAATTATTATTAGTTTTTTGATGCCTAGTTGGTAGTTAATTTTTTTTGTATATCTTTTTGCTCCACTTAGCACTATGTATTTCTGGTTTTATATGAAGTAGGGTCCATTTAAATTCCACTTTATGCGAAGCAGAATGTGGCGAGTGGCAACTGGATTTCATAAATCATGTTAGATATCAAATAGGAAAAAAAGTAACAGTAAAAGGATGAATTGATGATAAAAAGTGTATATTAATTCAATGTCTCATCTTTTGGGTTTCTGTAAGAGAAAGAAATGGAGCTAAGTGGAAAAGTGTAGTGGAAAAGGTCCATTATTACTCCATTATTTTTCGTGAGCTTGTAACGTCCTTTTGGTACTCGTGTGCTAGGCGACAAGTTAGGTTCGAAACATTAGCATTCAGTGATTGAATTATGACCATTGGATTGAGAACTAGTGTTACGTAGTTCCACGTCAGAAAAGCAAAAGTGAAAAAAGATTGGAGAATAAATTACATAACTTTTCTCCCGATTTCCATATGTCATTGCTGAGGTGGTCTTATCAACTTTATACTATATAACAGAAATTTTAATTTTATTTGAGAATATAGCCTAAAGACTAGTGTAACTAACAAGTGTTAGATATTTGTATAAGCGCGAGTGACATTTGTTAACCGCGTTGCGGATAGGGCGATATAGGAACATTGTGTGGCAGAACATGACTCCGACGCAACGTTTTTGGGCTACTAATCGCTGTTTGTGATAGCGGAAATAACAGTCGTTATGGTGGGACATTAGTAGTTTCGGAGCGGTTTACAAACCATTAGTGTAAAGATGAGAGCAATATTGAAAGTTTGATTCTTTAATAAGTAAATTGGTATTTTTTTTCTTCTTTTTATTTAACTAGTATAAAAAATGTTAGTGATGTTTTAGGTCATTTCTTGTTCTCTCTTCACACAAATTAGTAAGCGGTGGATTTTTTTACCTAATATTTGTCGTTGTCTCTTCCTTCACAAATTTTCTACCTCAACATTCTTCTCAAAATAGGAAGCATCAATCTTTCTCATCCATTCTTCTTCTCGTAAGCATCCATCTTTCTCATCCATTATTCCACATTCCTTTTTCATTTATTCATCTTTTTCTTCACTTTTTCAGACATTCGCATCCATTTCTCCTATATTTTGCTGATTTTTTCTCTATTAGCAACTATGACATCATCTTCTGCAAGTTTAACACAAACTTCCAACAACAAAGGTTTTCTTTTTAAACTTATTGGTAAAAATTTTGACATAGGTTGACAATGAAATTTCTATAAAGACCAAAGCAAAAAACTATTGTTTGTGATTTTTGTGAGCACCTTTCAATAGGAGGAATAACACAAGTTAAGAAGCATTAGTTGGGGATAAGAGAATAACTTAAATCTTGTAGAAAAGTGCTGGTTGACACTAGAGATCCTCAGACCCATTAGTATCACCTTCAGAGCTCCCCAAAGTCCCCGATTTGACACTAATCTCTATAAAACCTATGAGAGGACATTCCGTTGTTAAAGGTATCACCTAGGGGTCTATCACACTAGTGTGCAAGGAAGCATCACTAATATTATCCATACTAGATAAGCCCCCAAATGCAATGTTCGAGTTTTCTATGTTGGCCATTACTAATCAATAAATGAGAAAAAGTAAAAGGTAGAGAAACAAGTATTATCTCAAGAAAATTACAAAGTTGGAGTAAAATGGGATGATAAAGGATCACAAAAAACTCAAAAACACTGCCTAAATGCAACAGTGAAAGTCAAAGGAAACAAGCAACAAATCACTTACAAGGAAGAATTGCCAAAAGACATGGAAATACAAAGCTTTTGACAAAAGAAGCAAAAAATGACTTATGGGGATCAACCCTTTTTTTTAGGGTTAATATCACTTTTAGCCCCTGCCATATGGGCGAGTTCTACTTTACCCGTATGTAAAAAAAGTTCAGATTCCAACCTTGTCATTTGAAGATTCTGTCATTTTAGACATTTATAACACATGAGTCAACAAATCTGCATATGTTACACTGATTGGCCATTTTTTTCATGCCAAGTGACTAATTAATTTAAAGTCAATAATTAATAATTATTTTTAAAAATAAATAAATTAATACCTTCATCATCTTTGAAGATGATCACATGGGAAAAGTCATTGGAGAAGACTACAAGCTTGGGATATGAAAGGAATGGAAAAAGAGACTCTTATGAATTATACACTAAAAATTAAAAAATTCTAGAATTCGGTGGTGTGAAAGGGATAAAGATGGTGGACGAAATGAAAAAGATCTTGTCTCTAATTCGGTCACTAAGAATTTTAGTGATTGGTTTTTTGGAATTTGTATGAACACGATGAAGATGGTTAATGAAGATGAAGAAAACTTTATCTCTAATTGGGTCATTAAGATTTTCAGTGACCAATTTTCTGGACTTTGTACGAACACGATGGTGATGGTGTATGAACAAGATGAATATGATCGATGAAGAACCGTGTTTTTTCTGGGCTTGTATGAAGATTGAGGATGAAGATATGAATATTAACCAAAAATTGATTTAGCGACAAAATTAATAGCTGAATTCTAAATTTATATTCATATATTCATCTCTAACTTTCATACAAGCCCATAATCCCCGAGTTAACTTATTTAAGAAATCATAATTAAAATAATTAATAAATAGTTAAAGTGATCCTACCATACTCACCTACATACTATGTTGAGGAAAAAAAAATCCTTTTTGATATTTTGAAGATAAGAAAATATTGTGTAAATATAATTAAGATTATGATCTTATTTGTTATTTGATGTGTTTTATTGAGTGGAAATAAATAAGGCAGGTTCATTCATTCTCACTCAAGATATTATACTATGGTATAGTGATCCTAAAAATAATACCATTCCTTATTATGAAAAGAAAAGAAAAAAGTATTTGAGGATACACATACTGAGGATACAAGCATCAAGGATACAACCTGCGGGGATACAAGCTTCAAGGATACAAACACACTGAGGATACAAGTGCGAGGATACAAAAGTTACTTGGGCACCAAGTAACATAAAATATATTTTAAATAATATTGTGACAAAACACTATGCACTTTATGTCATCAAGTACACAAGGAATAATACTAGTTGTCTTTTTGGAGGTGTAAGTACCAAGACAAGTCTGAGGACTCAAACAAATCTAAGGACCAAAACACACTTGAGAATTCAAACTCACTTGAGGACCAAAAAACACTTGAAGACATAAAACCTTACTTAGTCACCATGATTTGAGAAAATAAATATTATATTCATTGAGGTTACATAAATCAATTTGAGGACTTAACAAGTCTGAGGACACAAATGTGAAAACTTGAGGACAACCATCAGAGGAGTCAAAATGCTTAAATTGCATATTAGTAATTAAAGCTTATTCTAATGGATATATTAATCTCCAACAAGTTGCAACAGTCTCTTGATTCAAATTTCATCTATAGAGAGAACACTTCATTATTGTTGAAAAATGTTGCTTTACATAGAAAAAGAGAATCAACATTAAAATCTTCAAAAACTCATACATACTATCTTTCTTACCAAAATGCATCACACCTTAAGAATCATCATCATGTTTCATTAAAAAATTTTCTACAAACCTCTCACTATCATATGGTGAAGTTTTAGTTTTTCTTTGATCAAAACAAACTCTCTCAAAATCGTATATCCTCAAATGATACAAAATCTTATTCATTACTTTGTAAGCTTACTGAAGCTATATTAATCAGTATTGTAAGCTTGGTGAGATTAAGAAAATACATAGTTGTAAATGTGCAAACAAGAAGAAAATTTGTCAAGCATCAGTAAAAAAATTTCACAGATTGTGAGGACTCTAACCACATTGGTGAATGAGGATAAATCTCTTCTATGATCTCTCTTAAAATCTACTATATTTCTTTATTATATTGTTAATAATATTCTTACAAACACAATAATAAATATTATATGATATTTACTCTAACATTTCTTCTCCAAAGATTTTTTGAGAGATTGTGTTTTTTAGTAAGTTAAAGCTAAAATTTAAAAGGATCACAATTTAAACCCTCATTTCTCGTGACATTTCTAGTTACTTCCTACTCAACTTTTATTAGGTTATTAGGTGGTGTCGTGAATCTCTCTTACCCTTACGTTCACACAATTACCACACTATTCCCTATCCATTTTATATTTACACAACTTTATTCTTGTCTTGCAAGTAGAAAAATTAGTAGAAAAACAATGTTCACCATGAACATTCATTTTAAGGACTCTTGGACTCTTGCTAGTGGTTTAATCCAAAGTGATGTTATATTAATATTACCACATTTTTTCCTTGTAGCTTTTCATTGAATTGTAAATACCCTAGATTTAGAACTTAATGGAATTGAAGTTTTTAAAGAGTAACCATCTATTAAAATTTTTTGGGTTTTTATGATGAACACACGAAGATGATGAATATGCATGATTAACATAAAGGAGTTTTATTCATCAAATTAATTAGTTAATGATATAGGATTAGTTGGTGTAAGTGAAATTCAAAAAAATTGAAAAACAAAAACAAATTGTCACTTAGTGCACCACATAAACACATTAGATGACTCATATCACTTAAACGTCTAAAAGAAATAATCTTCAAATGAGAAAGTTAGAATCTGAACCATTTTCTTACAGAAATAAAGCAAAATTCACCTATATGGTAGAAGACAAAAGTACTATTAACCTTTTTTTATATATAAGTAGTCAAGGAAGATAGATCTACGACTGAAAACAAAAAGAATACCAGAAGACAAGATCAATAGTTTAGAATTGGCCTCAATGCCATAAGGGCACTCAAGTATACTTGA